TAGAATAGGAGGATTTGCCAAAGCTTTTTTGACATTGTTAAATGCTTCATCATGATTTTCACTCCAAATAAATTGATTTTTTATCTTTAGAAGTTCTCTAAGTGGTCTAGCAGTTTCGCTTATTTCTGAGAAGAAAGACCCCAGTTGGTATTCAAGTCCCATAAATGATCTAAGCTGGGTAATATTCTGTGGGACTGGATTTTTTTTTATAGCTTCCACTTTTTTAGGATCTACCTGAATTCCATTTTGTCCTACAATATACCGAACATAGGATAGTTCTTGTTGTGCAAAAAAAAACTTTTCTGGATTCAATGTGATCGATTTGGATCCACAACTTTCGAGCAACAAAATACATAATTCGTCGGTAGTGGTCTTCAAATAATTCGTCATACAACAAGATATCATCGACTACTTTTTCAATATTGCCAATATCCAATAGTGCTTCGTCACCTAGTCGGCAAAATTCGTATCCAGAACTAATTAAGCCCATCGGAGTTCTAAGGAATTTAAATCGACCCCAAGGAGTAAGAAATGCTGTTAAATTTTGACTTTCCGCATCTAGTGCTAATTGCCAGTATCCACTTTTTGCATCCAATTGATGAGAAATACAGGGTGTCCTAGCCGAGAGTGACCCATTTTGAATGCTTATAACTTTTAAACCAGGTGTGTTATAGCTACCTGCGGGTTGCGCCAATCGATTTCTCTTGGCCTAAAGTTTTTTTTAGTAGGTTGCAAATTTTTTTCGCAATTATACAGAGCGAGTTGAAAAAAAATCCGTTTTTCAACATTGAAATTCTTCATCATTTTCAATGGAACACCCTGTATATCACAACGTCAAAAAAAAGAGTCATGTTCAAGGTATCCATGTACCAATAAATATCGTTCTTGTAACTTGAAATTTCAGCCGTAAAAAATCATGATCAAAATCCTGATATTTTTGCAAACGCATTTTTTTAGCATATTTTCAAAGCTTGGAAATTATGTATACTGTATACCTAATAAAAACTGCATAAAACTATAAACATGTTGTATATGTTGACCATTCTGTTCCACGTATTTATGGATCAGTAAATGGTTGAATGAATTGTGCCTAACATTTCCTGGGGAATCGCTTAAATGACAACAAATGTTCGACTCAAGAAATTTCAGGCTATTTGGGAAAGGATTACAGCATCTCTCCTTGACATAACCCCAGAGAAAAAGGCTAGAACGGTCAAGTCAGGAGAGTAGGTGTTCATTCTATAAGACTAGCTTTCCCTATTCAGCTTTTCCCAAAGGTCTATCTAGTGATTCCCTTGCTATTGAAGAATAATGAGGTGAGGCACCATCCTGCTGAAAATACATATCATCCAAGATACACTCCTGTCTTAACTGTGGATAAAAAAAAATCCAACATATCAGTGTATAAACTTCCTGTTATCGTTGGTTCAATAATGAAAAATGGTCCGTATTTTTTCTCAACAGATGAGATTGTACACGAAACTGTTACGTGATAGATAGAAGTACCTACAATATAAAGTTGCATACGTTTGCAAAAATACCAAGATTTTGATTTTGATTTTTCACGGCTGAAACTTCAAGTTTCAAGGACGATGTTGAACCTTGAACATGGGTCTTTTTTTCGACGTTGTAATATACAGGGTGTTCCATTGAAAATAGTGGAGAAAGTCGATGTTGAAAAACGGATTTTTTTTAACTCGCCCTGTATGAGAGTTGAAAAAATTTGCAACCCACTGGATAAAAACTTTAGGCGAAGAGAAATCGACTGGCGCAAGCCGCAGGTGGCTAGCACACCTGGTTTAAAAGTTATAAGCATTTAAAATGGGTCACTCTCGGCTGAGACACCCTGTATTTTGATTTTCCACTGATGTTTGAAACTGCCTGCCAAGTTGATTTAAATGGATGTGTTGGCCTTTTGACATATTTGTTCAGTTTTGTATAGTCTACACATATTCGTATTTTTCCATTTGATTTTTGAATCACTACTATAGGACTCATAAATTCAGTTCGCATATCGAGGACAGGTGCAATCATATTTTGGGCTAATAAGTCGTCTAATTCCTTTTTCACTGGATCTAGCCAAGCATATGGAACTTTCCTGGGACATGTAATAGCATACCTATTAATATGGTTCATAGTTTTCAATTTCAAGATTTTTGTATCGAAAACATCTCTATATTGTTGCAGCAGTTTCCTTATTTTTTAATTTTTTTCTTCAGAAGGATATTTTGAATTTTTGTTTAAAACACTTACTGGATAGATCTTATATACTATCGGTTTTGGATTTTTTGATTTCTGTTGTGTTATTTTCATAGCTAATTTGACAGTTGATATATCCAAATACAGTATTCGCCAAAATACACAGTACCGAACCTATAAACTATATCATTTATTAATTTGTATCATGCGTATATGTTCAAAAAATGAATCATAGCGACGCAAAAAAGCTTCATAACGATTCTGCAAATCATTGAAAATATTTATTAAGAGTCAACAACGAGTGACACCGACCGACACTGACTGACACTGAACAACAACGACCGAAACCGACCGACACTGACCCACAACGGTCAACGAACGACACCGACCGACACTGATAGACACCGACCGACGCTGACCGACGCTGACCCACGCTGACCGTAAATTTACAGATAGAAGTGTAAATACAGTTAGAAGTGTAAATTTACAGATACAAGTGTAAATAATTTACAGATAGAACTGTAACTTTACTTTACAGATACAACTGTGAATTTACAGTTAGAACTGTAAATTTACAGATACAGTTGTAAATTTACAGATACAAGTGTAAATTTACAGATACAAGTGTAAATTTACAGATACAAGTGTAAATTTACAGATACAAGTGTAAAATAGACACAACTGTAAACGGCCCTGCCCAAAGTATACGGAAATTGTGTTTATGTCAGAATTGGCTGAATTTTGTATATAATGTAGATCTCGCCGTTCTGATTAAAAGTTACCATTACACCGATTCTGAAAAATGACTCCTTTTTGAGAAAATTGATTTCATAGGTACCAAGTATAAGGCTTGGAGATTATAATGGACGTCCAATGTAGCGTGAATAAGTGAGTTTGTGGCGCAATGGTGTGCTACGGTAGCACACTAAGGAGTACATTTTCAGGATTGGTGTAATGGTAACTTTCAATCAGAAACAGATACAAGTGTAAATTTACAGATAGAAGTGTAAATTATGTTAGAAAAAAAAGTTAGCTTTACGATGGCAGCTCAGCGCCGTCATAGTAAACCGATGTTTGATAATTCGTTTTCTGAGCAGTCAATAAACTCCACGTTTTTTGTACCATAATATTTCAAAAAACTTTTTTACATCGGCTGTATATGGAGTCTATTGCAGGACATTCTTTCAATCTTTTGTGCCATGCATTGTTACATCTAGGACATTTTTTGATATTTCTTGAATTTACTTTCGATTTATTTATGTATTTTGTGTACCTTAGAACAATTTGCTTGGGATTCTTCCATTTGTGCGACTTCTTCTAATTCACAAATTCTTTTGATATCATTGATATTTGCTGTTTCTGGTAGTGTTTTGCATTTTTTTTCTGATTTCTGTATCATAAACAGATTCGATCATATGATCTGTGATTGTCCGGTCAAAACAATGTGAGCAGGGATCACTCAAATTAAATAATTTCAATTTTTCTCTATAAAATATAGAGAAAGATTCGCCTTATTCTTATTTACGGAACATGTATGGCCGTAATTTGATTGAAATTCTCGATTTTCATCACAAATCGGACGACATCTGCAATCTGTAATTATCGAACCTGACCAATGTTATTGATATTCACTCCGTGATATAACAGATAAATTTCAAACTTAATTTTCCAATCTTTGAACTGTGCTAGGTTTAGAAAATCATTCAGTTTTCCTGGCAAAGGTATATTGCTTGGAAAACGTAAGTATTCTACTTTAGTGATGTCTACACACTCCGTTTCCAAGTTTCTTTGTTCCACTGAAATACTTTCTTCGTTACTGCCACCTTTTTGACGTACTAAATTCTCTCATACTGTTTTGTAGTTCTGATAGCTGTTTCCATATTCAGGGTCGCAAGTTTAGCCCTATACAGGACTACAGTCTGTACTGCTTTGTTTGGTTGTCACACCAGCGTAACCCCAAAAAGGTTTTAAACGTCAAATTCGAAACAATCATCCATGTACTCAGCGATCCTGGTTCGAAAATTTGACTTCATTGCCGTTTCCACTATTTCCATGAAATCCATTTTCATTTGTTTCTATAAATAAAATAATTGGCCATGTTGGCAGGGATGTGGATATCGCCGTTAAACTTGAGAGGGTTGTATTCGAGTTAAAATACCTTAGCTGCAGAAGCTTATTTGATCATGCTACCGTCACAAAAATTACACATTACCCTAAAATGCCTATGAAATTTATCGGCAAGGAAATGTTACAAAAAAAGATACAAATGGTGTTGGATTTTGAAATGAACAACCTACTCGACTTTCCTCCTTATACAAAAAAATAATTTGATAGGTACTTACATTTTCAAAGCACTGATTTTAGTATAGTGTTTAAATCTACACATATCAAGTTTAATATAGAAAAAAACTCATCTCCATAAAAATAGCCTCGACCTTCGGCTTTTCCATTCAGCCTAAACAAACATGCCAAAATTGAAACTAACATTGTAAAAAATTATTTTTCTCGCCGAGTTCTAATTAAAAATGTTTTAACATTACCAAAAATCGATTACCAATAAATTCAATGTCAAAAAAATTGGCATTTAGATGAATAATTTTATTGAACACCGAATTTCACCATGACCTGCTTAACTGGGTCGTATTGGCGGCGAGTGGTCGACTTTATGCAATAATAATTGGGGATTTGCTTCGATTACAAATTGTTTCTTTGGCGCGCTTAATGCAATGGCATTCGATTTGAATACGAATGAAATCGCCAGGGATTATAATACTTATACTATTTATTTTATATGAACTTACCTTTAATTTCAAAGTCATTCTTGTAGTTCAGTTATTATCGCAGCTTGTTCACCATATTATGCAGTATCTAGAAAAAAAATTGCATACATTTTTACTTTTTTCAAAAGTTATGTTGTTCACATTTGAAAGAATATTGCAACTTCTACTCAAAGAGGGTATCTATTAAGCCACATTTATTATTTTAGGTACCTAATTTCTTCGATAAATTTCTTTGTATAAACGCAAAGGCTTTTTGGAAGAGGTAATTAACTACAGGTTAAAACACACACAAAACATTTTCAGTGGAAAATCAAAACTCATAAAAGAGTGGCCCTTTTCCACCAAAAAGAACACAGTATACCTAACTTTTGAAACTGTGTGAATAAAGAAAATGAGAGGCGTGCACAAAATGTCCAAATTTAGAAGAGTAGATGCTAAATATCGCGATTACAAGATCATCATTAACTCAACGCCTATGTGTTCTCTGGGAAAAAAAAAATCAATTGATTGAGACCAGAAAACAGATTGTTCTGTCATTTTTATGGTAGAGCATTCCTTCTTTTGGTCTCATCCAATTGATGTTCTCTTCCAAAGTAGACATTGTTTTTGAGATAGAGATTTTACGTTGATCTTTAAATTGGTATTAACCATCAATTTTTTAAAGTTTTCTCAAATTAGTTTTGTGTTAATTGGTTAGCAAATGATTTTTTTGCACTTACCAATCTTGACAAATAGCTTTTCCAAAAATAGTCTCAATTCAATCTAATCCATCTAATATTGATCCAGTGGCACCGTTTGCATTACCCTAAAAATTCGGCGGCAAAACTTCGCGTTAGCATAAAAACGCGACTTTTGTCTTCGCCCACTCGCAGCCACTATACGAGATGTAAGTTATACTACGTGTTACACCGTCGCGCAATAAACAACGAAGTTTAAATTCAAATGTGTTTTCTTATGACCCATGCTCGAACACCGGCAAGGCGCGGAACCTTTCCTCCACTTTTGTTGCAGGGATTTGAATGTATGCAGTATTTTTTAAGTTCCAATGGTACGGCGAACCGAAGGACACGCCTGCCACCTATATGTTGGTGAATTATGATGTATTTCCTTTTAAAGTCCCTTTGTGTCGGTCGAACGCGACTTTTTGTTTGATGTTTTTTTTTCTGCCAAAACTTCCCACGCTTCAGATTTATTGTATTGAGCTTTTATGGTTCTTTTTAGGATGTTACCAAATCTAACCTGGAGATAGTTTTTTTTTTTATAATTTTTTTAAATTCTTGGGTATGTCTTTGTTTTATGTACCTACTCGAAAGAACTTTTAAATGAGGCACTTCTAAGACTATACAGGGTGACACCAAAAACACCCTCCAAACTTCACACAGTTGACAGTTTTAAGGTTTTATTTCCTACAGTAATGGACAGGGGGATTGGCTAACTCTTCTTTAGCTAGCTTTTGAAATTCCCCTAATAATTTGCACAAATGAATACATTAGTACACACAGGCGTATCCAGGAGGGGGGGGGGGCTGCCGGGCTGCAGCCCCCCCAAGGCAAGTCTAGACCTTTTTTTTTCAGCGCATTTTATGAGACATGTACAATTTTTGTAAAAAAAAATAGAAATACAATGTATTTTTGTAATTGATAATTTATTTAACTGGTCTTAAAAACACTTGCTCTAAATCGCGCGTGTTTTAAAGACCTTAATACTTAATATCCACTTATACTTTAATATACTATTATTTACAACCACATACGTAATGTTGACATTTCTGTCTTTTCAAAAGTTTGAAAGTGACACTTTTTTGAATTTTACTTTCCTCCCGAGTGGAAAGTGGTCCCGGGTGGAAAGTGCTCACTTTCCACCCGGGTGGAAAGTAATTCCTCATTTCCTAAAATGTTAAACACAAGTCAACACACAATGTCAAACTTTTTTTTTCTAGTCAGAACTTGTCAACAAAATTTTTTAATGTTTATTTGGCATTTATTACAAAATTGTGATGGTTATAATTGTTGTAAATAAAATAGTATACAAACCTCGGTAGGAAGTTTCATCACTGTCTCGAGATTATAGTTAACTTCGACGCTTCGCGTCTCAGTTAACTAACTAATCTCTCGACAGTAATGAAACACTTCCCACCTCGGTATGTAATATACTATTCTTTCTATGATAAGATTTTTCTATGGCGAACGCCGAATGCAGCAAGGGAATCAGTGCTTCATCTTAATCATCTTGAATGTCTGAAATACTTCCTTCCTCAGGAGAGAAGAGGCTCCGTGAACAAAATGTCTCCTCTTACAAAAAAAAAAAAACGAATAGGTAGCCCGATACGAACATTTTTGTCGCCCCGCAAAAAAGAGTAAGCGCGTAACATTTGCGTATGCTACAGGTGAATTCTGACAAAAATAGGCAACTTTCAAATTTTTAAATTAATCTGTTAGTCATTTGATGATCAGCATACTTTTTCCAAAAAACGCTAATTTTCGAAAATAAAATGATTTGAAAATCGAATTTTCATTATTTTCAAACTGCTGTGAAAACGCGGGATAGGAGAGGGACGTCACTTTCCCAAACATGTGAAACATGCGAGGATGCCGAATTTCTCATTAGTAAAACCATTCCCAAACATGGCTGACATAAAACTAGTCACAACCTATATGACCCATTTTTGTCCTTTACTACTTCATAAAAAAAGAAAGGACAGGTATAATCGGTAAAATATTTCCGCATTTCTACATGTGGCAACAAGCGCATGAATATATCGCCTTAGCCTTAGACAAGCTTTAGCCAATAAGAAGCAAGTGAAATTCTATTGTGCGCAGCCTTTTTTTTTTTTTTATTTGGTCAACACTTTTTGTTAACGGAGCCCCCCCCAAACCAAAATCCTGGATACTCCAATGTTAGTACAGGGTACTGTCGAAAAATAATATTACGTAAGGTCCGTTTCACCAGGGTTCATACTTGACCTTGAAACTTAAAAAAAAGGGTTGTCGTAGATTAATTCATATGACACATTCAATTTTTTTGACAAATTAAAATAAATGACTTTTGGTTAAGAACCGACGAACGTTTTTGACGTCATTGATTTGTTTCAGTCAATTTTTATTTGTTAAACAAGGAAGGCAAATGCTGGTGGCAAGTACAAACCCTGGTGAAACAAACTTTAGGTATTTTATATACATTACTAGCTGACCCGGCGAACTTCGTACCGCCTCTGAATTATAAAATACCTATTAAATGTTGTGTTAACGTATCTATTAGCTGAATTAAATCCAGTTTTTTTCGATGGTGAATTTGGCTTTGGTTGAAGAAAATTAATGTTTTCTCTCTAGATCAGAAGTCACCTAAAATTAATTTTACATCATCCCTGTTAAGGCAGCTTGTGGGCATTATTCTTGTAAAGTGTACCACCAAATAAATAAACTCAGGCACAGGAATGTTCAAAGAATGTAAAGAAAACAAAAAAAATCTCCAGCGCAGCCCTGTTTCTCTTCATCTGCACTGCATGCACTGCACTACTCCATCTGTTCTACTCTGCACTATTCTATCTGATGTAATTTGATCGGAATAGTGGAATAGTTCTGTTCAAAATAGCTCCAGTTCCTGAGCAGCATTGTTCTACTGTATCTGCAATGCCGAGCTTCGTTCCAGGTATCAGAGATGGCGCGGTATACAAAATACAAAATACAAAATAAACTTGGTATCGGCTTAGTAAATTTTTTTCATAAATAAATAAAATAAGTAATGGAATGACCACATTAATGACATAACAACATGCTGGTACTGTCAACGCTGGTTTCAATTTGACAGCAAAATCCCCATTAACAAAATGATCCTCGAAAAAATGTGATAAATGAAGAACCGCTCGACCGATTTTGTGCAAACTTCAGATAAACCATCTAATAAATAGTCCGAACAAAGCCTAAACATTTGGTTTGGCTAGGTGACCCCGTTCTTAAGTTATAAAATTACAACGAAAAGTGGCATTAATTTTTATATGTATATAGATTGTAGATTTCGGGGGAGGCGTTTCGGCTTTTCAGCCGCTCAGCACTGCTACCTTTGCAGATATTTTGTGCGTGACTCTACTTAATTTGTCTCCAGGAAGCGTAGACTTCTGCCGAAGGAAGCTATTTTCCTGGATGTCAGTTGGCCCACTTCTTCTGGTGACAGTGTTGCCCCCTCGAGGAACTTGAGCCTCTTGCAGAATTGGGCTGGACATTCGCAGAGCAGGTGCTCTGCGGTTTCTATTGCGTCTGAGCAGAATCTGCAGAGATTGTCTTCTGCTCTGTCCATTAACCTTAAATGGTATTTTACTGGGCAGTGTCCTGTGAGCAGTCCCACCACCAATCTGATGTCTGGTCTGCTCATGCTTAGGAGCTGTTCAGCTCTTTTTGCTGAAAGGGTAATAAACCTTTTTGACTGTCTGAGTTCCGGTGTGTGCCTCCAATATGATGACAGTTGGTCTTTCTCCCATTTGTTGAGTTCTTCCATGATGTGGCGTTTCATTAAGCCACAGTAGGGCTCTGGTCCATGGTATGGTGTTGAGGCCCCTTCCTTTGCGAGGCCATCTGCCTCTTCGTTTCCTTCTATGCCTCGATGACCAGGCAGCCACATCAGCGTTACCTGGTTATGTGTCGCTAGTGTTTTTAGGGTCTGTTTACACTCCCAGACTAGTTTTGACGTGCATTTGAAAGCCCTCAAGGCTTTTAAGGCAGCTTGGCTGTCCGATAGTATGAAGATGTGTTTTCTTTTGAGACTATGGTTAAGACGCTCTTGTGCACATATATCTATGGCAAGCAGTTCGGCTTGAAATATTGTAAGATGTTTACCCAATGCCTTGGAGAGCTTGAAGTTAGGGCCGGAAATGCCCAGTCCAGCTCCTACCACTAGCTTGGATCCATCTGTGTACCACAGAGATGCATTGTCTGCTTGTGGTAGTTCTTTATTCTCCCATGATTGGCGGTCGTTTATTACCACTGCGAAGGGGATCTCTAAGTCCAATCTGACCATCATGTGGTCACTTGGTTTGCTGGCATTCTCCAGTGTTATTAGATCAACGATTTTCAGATGTCCCCTCAGATCGCCAGGCTTGAACTTGTCTATTTGGAATAGCCTGAGAGCGCTGGTTATTGCCTCCTTTTTCACACATAGGTGAAGTGGGGGCATGTTGAGTAGCGTCTCTAGGGCTGCGGTGGGGCAAGTTGACATTGCTCCCGTTATTCCTAGACATATCAGCCTTTGCACCTTTCGTAGCTTAATCTGAGCGGTGACTTGTTGGGTTTTGGGCCACCACACCAATGAGGCGTATGTGACCATAGGCTTTATTATGGTTTAGAATACCATCTTTGGCTTTAGCCCCCATGTTTTGCCAACAAGTCTTCGGCATGACCAAATGGCTGATGTAGATATAGGTATATAGATATTTATATTAATTTGTAAAAAAGCTAATAGCTATAATGTTATTTGCAAAATCTAAGGTAAAGAGAAAAATAAGAAGAATATATTTCACATAAAAGAATGGAATGAAAATATTCAAGTTCAATAGTTGGATTGGTTAACCTGTAAAACTTAAATATACGGAAAGTTACTGAAATAAAAAAAATTCTGCTATTAACCTACAAGGGCTCAGACAGGATTAGAATTAGTATGTTAGTTTTGGTATCTACTAGCATGCTATTGAAAAATTGGACAAAATAAAATTTATTTATTTTAAAACAGTTCCATTAATTTACAATTAATTACAATACCAACAACGTGAAGAATTCAGACAAGCGTGTTGATCCGCGTAATCGAAAGAATTCAATTAAATCAGCATAACGCATAATTACCTCTGCCTGGGAATCCATTATATAATGACGTATAGAAGTAAACCGTGTTGAAGAAGCGACCAGAGATTATAGTTTCACTTTCGTTAATGGGAAAAGAAACCATTTACGGAAATTTTAGGTCGGATTCTGTGCTGGTTGACATTTTTGGTATGTGTTTCATAACATCTCGATATAATGACTTAATATTTTAGGCCTTCGGAAAACGCAACACAAATAAATTAATAAACTCTTTACTAGAACGGAAGCCTAATTTTGGTTTTTGTCTTTCTAATCCAGTGTGTTTATGAATAAATAATGCAGAGAGCAATAGAGTTATCAATCTCTAAAAAGGATCTAATAATTAATTATAGAGAAATAACAATAATATTAGATATATATTTATTATTTCTAGAACTTTGGCTGATAGTAGGTACCCAGCAAACACAACATAATGGCATGTTAAATGCAAAGCATTGGCTCCAGAGCGCTTCTTCATTGGCAATTTGCTG